GTGCTACGACCGCTACGTTGCCATCTGCAAACCCCTGCACTACGGGACCCTCCTGGGCAGCAGAGCTTGTGCCCACATGGCAGCAGCTGCCTGGGCCTCTGGGTTTCTCAATGCTCTGCTGCACACAGCCAATACATTTTCCCTGCCCCTGTGCCAGGGCAATGCCCTGGGCCAGTTCTTCTGTGAAATGCCTCACCTCCTCAAGCTCTCCTGCTCACACTCAGGCTACCTCAGGGAACTTGGGCTCATGGTTTTTATTTGCTGTTTAGGATTTGGTTGCTTCATTTTCATTGCTTTCTCCTATGTGCAGATCTTCAGGGCTGTGCTGAGGATCCCCTCTGAGCAGGGACGACACAAAGCCTTTTCCACGTGCCTGCCTCACCTGGCTGTGGTCTCCCTCTTTGTCACCACTGCAGCATTTGCCTACCTGAAGCCCCCTTCCATCTCCTCCCCATCCCTGGATCTGGCCCTGTCAGTTCTGTACTCGGTGATGCCTCCAACCCTGAACCCCCTCATCTACAGCCTGAGGAACCAGGAGCTCAGGGATGCCATAAGGAAAATGATGACTGGATGCTTTTCAGAAGTAATAAAGTGCCTGTGTTCTGGTGGGGAACTTTCAGAAGGGGGCTCCTTAATGGCGCAGCCTTCCTGCTCAGGTTTTTGTGGGAGGTCATCAGATTCTTCTTGAAAAAATTTGTTGTGCTATTAAGTATATTATGTGTATGCATTCTTATTTATTGTCCACCCATAAATTTGACCCGGAGTTTTATAAGTGAAGAATCGTGCTCTCTCAGTATTTAAACAAAATAAAGGACCCTGCAGTGCCTTCTTTGTCCAAGACCCTTCTTCTCAGCTGTTCCTAAAGGACAGCACACTGCAGGACAGGGGGGATTGGCAAAGGGCAAGGGCACAAGAATCCCAGCACAGCAGCACTGCCAGGGAGCAGCAGAGCTTGGGCTTTGCAGAGCTGCTCTTTCCACTCCCACACTGTCCTTGGGAGCCCCTTTCTGGCTGCAAGGCCTGAGTGCTCTCTGAGCACAGTCCTGGGGGTGGGAGCCCTTTGAGCACAGGCAGGGACAGGCACTGGGAACTTGTGAAGCAGAGCTGGGCTCCCTGACAGCATCTCCAGGATGCTGTGGGACCTTCTGAGGC